TATACAAGATTCGCCAAACATAACAGACATAAATAAGACTAATACTTTACAAAATTTACATACATTTCGGGCAGGGACTAGCCACAGAGATAATCTCCAATTATGGGGGCCCTCACAATAAGTTACAATATATAACATTAAAACAAATTATGCTAAAATGTCAACAACATGACCTCACTAATAAGCTATCAAGAGACCGAGTTGAGTGGCATTTGACGCTGTTGCACACGGACTTAAATGTTCTAGGATTGTCCGGGTTGTATATTTGTTCTAAAAGGTTTAAGTAGTAATTGAATAAAGAGATTTTAAAGTAAGCTAATGATTTTGAAGTGTCACGAATATTGCTAGGGAGAATGTTCCATAAGCTAGGCGCTCTCACATAGAAATTGTTCTTGTAGCTAACTGTCCTGCATCGAGATACATTAAGAAGGATACCATTGACAGGGTCAGCGTTTCTAGTCGTCCGGGTGGTTGTTCGTATTGACACATTGACATCGTTGCTTAGAATACTCTTGTAAAGAAAAACTAAGTCTAGAAATTCGTGCCAATAGCAGACTGGGAGAATATCGATAACCAGTAGTCGTTCCCTGTATGTTGTGGCTGTTCTGTAAGGAAGGGAAAGGATGAATTTGGTCGCGCGACGTTGGACCCGTTCTATTGACAGTATGTCGGTGACAGTTTGAGGTGCCCACACCTGACTGGCATATCCTAATTTGCTGCGCACTAAGGACAGGTACAAGACCTTTCGCACGTGGATGTTATGTGTGTCGGAGGCTGTTCGACGAATGAAGCCTAGCATTGAGCTGGCTTTTGATGTTATTTCCTCAATCTGTTTCGTCCACTTGAGATCTTTTGTGACAACAATTCCAAGGTCTTTTTGATGACATAGTTGCTTCAGAGAACTATCCAGTAGTTTATAATTTGTTTTGACTGGTTGGCGACTTCTTGTGAAGCTCATTACTCCGCATTTAGACTTATTTAAGTCCATCTTCCAGACAGTACACCAGTTCACGAGATTATTGAGATCATTCTGCAGACTTTCGCAATCGGGTAAATCTTTCACCAGACGGTAGCACTTGGTATCATCGGCAAACATTGCCACAGTTGATTCGCCCGAGATGGAATGTAGAAGATCGTTCACATATACTAGGAAAAGGAGGGGCCCCAAGATTGACCCCTGAGGAACTCCAGACAGTACAGGGAGTGTACCCGAGGTCTCATCCAGAACAGTGACTCTTTGGTAGCGGCCGGAGAGATAATTTTCAAACCAACTTAGTAAGTCACCTCTTATTCCAAACTTGTGAAGTTTAGTCAACAAAAGCTTATGACTAACCTTGTCAAACGCTTTTGCAAAGTCCACACATCGTCGACTTGGTTTCGACTCTCCAACGCTTGATGAATATCCTGGAGAACGTGCAGAAACTGTGAGGTGGTTGACTTGCCTTTGAGGAAACCGAATTGTAGATGGTGGAGTTGAGTGGAAATGTGTGATACGAGTCGGTTGTAGACGCAACGTTCGAAGACTTTGGAGACCAAGGAAAACAGAGATATTGGTCGATAGTTTGAAACCTCTTCAGCTGGACCTTTCTTTGGAATTGGAACAATATTGGAGAGTTTCCACTCATTTGGAAGTTTACCCAGAGATAAACTCTTGTTGAAGAGATCACATAGCGATAAATAAATACTGGACGCACAGTTTTTGAGGAGTTTCGCTGGTATTTTGTCAGGGCCAGTCGCTTTGTTTTCATCGAGAGCAGCAAGAACGTGGTAAACTTCCTCGGGTGTTAAGGGGATGCTGAAGATGGTACATTCTGAAGCATCAGAGTTCGAGTCACTAGAGTTTGGAAAGGATGTTTTGTCGTCAGAAGGTTTGAAAATGGAATAGAAGTAGTGGTTGAGTAGGTTGGCAATGTCCGCTGGGTTCTTGACTGAGCTTGTTACGTCGTCAGGATGAGACCATGACATTTTGTTGGGAATGTTCGAGTGCTTGGAAACGGACTTGAAAACTGACCAAAACTTCTTTGTACTCGATCTCAGTAAGGCTGGGAGAGATTCAAGGAATTTCTTGCGTTTCGCGTAGATGATGGACTTTGTTTTACGTCGCAACTCCCGATACTTTTCCCAGAGGTTGGAGCACGATTTCTGTTTGGCCGCTCTTCTGCAAGTGTCTTTCTTTTGAAGAAGATGTTTAACTTCGCCGTCGATCCACAAAGGAGTGTGTTGCGAACAGTGACGTAAGGTATATTTATTGCTGCCGAGCGTAGCGAGGCAGCACACTAATCTCTACACGTGGTGTGCTTACCACGTGACCGCCGAGTTTATAGCCGCTACAATCTCGATTTATGTCATTTTGTCATCCACGGACGGGCCAAAACTAGCTGTTTTGATATTATTTTTTTGCTCCCGGGGGGATTTGTTCACAACATGGCGAATGTTATAAACGGACAGAAATATAAAAATCATAAAATAATGCGAATTTCCATAAAAATTCCGAGTAATATTTGTGAAGATGAATGGGTAAATAAAGCACGGTGTTATTTTGTGTCTCTGGCGCAAGAATGATCGACAATATTTGGAATAATTCAGGTAAGGATGGCTTTATTTCGTTCTCGTATAGTGATGTAGTCGTGCCGTGTGCCCTGTCTACCTGTCTGGTGATATATTTTATAATACATGAAGGCATTTGTATTTAAATCTGCTGTTTATACTTGTTTAGTCACTTTAGTGTATTAAACTTCGATATAGAGGCATTGAAACAATATGATTTCAAGAATATATCGGCAATTATAATACCCACTGAATCACTGATCTATTCCCGACTAAATCGACAGTAATGATTTATGCTGATACAAGAAGCAAATGAACTTTTAGTTTATTTGTTTGTTATGTCACTTAATATGTGCAAAGCCAAAGGCGGTGAGTATATAATAGTGTTCGGTACGTTCTATTTCTAAATGTTTATAGTTTAAAAACAAACGCGGGATGTTGTTAAATCAGGCTTAACAAGATTCCTAGAGCTACCCAGTGTGGATTGTTGTCTGCATGTATGGACTTATCAGCAATTACATGTAATATAGCATATCAACTGACTTTTGTATAAGATATGACTTGTATAAGATATGACTTGTATAAGGCCTCAGTTATATATAAAGCCTATAAACATGATTCTACTGACATACATTGATATATACATATGGCTGTGTTACCACAATAATGCTCACAACTTCAACTTCTTTCTAACAATATAGTTTTACAGTTCTGACTGTTCTGAGTATGATCTTATTCATTCAGAAATATAAGCATTGCACTGTATTCAATATGGCAAGCTATCCTGGATTCCAGAGCCTATGTTAATAATAAATTGAAATATCGTGAAGGCTCTGGTTCAACGGGAGGATTCTTTGATTAAACTGTGCCAATCACAAAACAGAATTAGCAGTTTTAGTACAGATTTTGGGCGTGTTAACCCATTAAGCGCCAGCGCTCTCCCCTTGACGAGTAAAATCGTCTGGCGTTAGACAGAGTAAAATACCCGTACTCTGGCGTTAGACAGAGTAAAATACTAAAGTAGGGTGCATCAGGGTGCAATGCGACCCAATGGGTTAACTAGACACATGGGCAGATAGATCAGTTAACCCATTAAGCGCCAGCACTCTCCCTTGACGAGTAAAATCGTCTGGCGTTAGACAGAGTAAAATACTGTTCAAAGTAGGGTGCATCAGGGTGCAATGTGACTCAATGGGTTAATATAGTACATAACATAGGTCATAGACATACAGTTTCAATACAATACAAAATGATTTTGAACAACGTCAAGGTCAATGAAATCATACAAAATGAATTTATGGAATATCAATTAAATGTATTTAAAACAAACATAATTTCAACATCCCAATAAGCAATAACATCCCAGTAAGTATAAATTCAACTATTTTAAATCAATTGTTTGAATAGCCAAATTAAAAGTTGTACGAGTGACAAAATCATTCAATAATATTCACATTTTATCATTTATATTATGTGTCAACTATCAAAGTCGCACTGTTAAGTATATTAAAATATACTTTTCATAAGATTAGATGTAAGATATAATTGTACGAAGGTAACTGAGGAACGACGATGTGTAAGACAATAAATCATACATACAGTGAAAAACGCTCTTTTTATAGCACATTCTACATGTACATATCGGCAGCATTTTCCTTGCGATAGTAACTCCTAGTATATATTGTGTACAAATTGTTGTATCCATATAGATTTCTGATAATTTTCGAGCAGTGGCATGTTGTGCGGTTTGGAAAGTCAGCTCGGAAGACGTCGAACTAGCCAGACTCCAAATAGCTTCCAAACATTTGTGTCTTCACGAGGTGTTATCGTGCACACAAGGCGTCCAAAATATTTCTTGTGCGTCACATGCGTGATGTCCAATGCTAAGAGCGCCCAAACGGCCTCTGAAAATTTGTGAGAGTGTGACGCTAACCAAGTATTTTTTTTTATTTGGCCTAAGTAAGAATGTAAGAATGTTTTTGTAAATTCAAAGCAAAGAAAATAAACAAAACTTAGCAAGTATTTTGAACGTAATAATTCGAAAAATTTATGTTTTTAACGAATATCCCACTGGAAGCATGTTGATGTAATATGATACTTTCTCCACACCCCCCTCGGGCGCTAAATTTTTGATGAGGCACGTGACTAGCCCGCAGCCAGGGTCTTTCCCAAAGAAAGATCCTGGGTATGAGGTTGATGGGGAAGGTGGCAGCGATCATAAAATATGGTCACAATTCCGTGACAAAAGCTCACGTCCACTCCTTCCTAGAACGCCTGCGGAAGGCCAAACTGAAAAGAACAAAGGAAGAACATATTTCTGGATGAAGGCCGATCCAGAGATTGACGCATGGATGATAATGACTGGGAGACAACGAGAGGTATTCGATGTGTCCATCTTTGTTAAACGTAATCCAGAAATATTACCACACCTGAAAAGTATTTGTGACGAAGCGAACGTTCTAGTTCTTAGAAGTCGCTGCCCTATTGCAAGGGAGATGGAAAAGCAGAGACGAGAGAGAGACGGCGAAACGAGCGAAGAAAAAGAAGAGGTTCCATCTCCAAGTTATTGGACTGTTGTAAAAAAATGGATGCCGTGGTGAAAACAATTGAACCTATAATGTAATATGATTTACTTGCATTCACAAGGACTGCCTTAAATCACTTATGCAGGTTTAATAAAATTAAATTATCCATTTACTTTTTTCATACAAATAAACCTCGACCTTTTAACTTTTGAATGCTACCTTTCGAAATGTTTCAGTTGAAAAATTAAACAACAAAAACTTTTAAATCTTTATATAAATAGGAAAAAGAAAACATTTTAAGGTGTCAAAGTTGGGATTGTTTTTTTTTCTATACACCCTGTAGCAGTAATTGTATAATTACAAAAAGTGTGTGCTGCATATAGTCATTTTGACAAGTGTGTTTACATGTGTGCAAACAGATGACTTGCTTTTAGTTATATTTACATCAACATAACAAACGTTAAATTGCAAAATAACTAAAACATTGCAAATCATTACGAAACAATGGAGGTCAGCAATGTCAATATTGTATTGTTTGAAAAATGCTAATGAATAATGTATATATATTTTCGTGTGCTTTAACAAATAGGTGTGGTTATATTCTAGATATGAATACATATAAACAATTCTAAAAGCATTTTCATAAAAATTTAAATTAAAAAATTATGTCGTTATAACTATAGTAAAATTTGATAAATTGTGTTTGAAAATATCGTAAGTGCTTCGTAAGTGAACATTTGAAAAAGTGTTGGTAGCCAGAGGTTGAAAATTTTTCTAAATGTTCACTTACAAAAGACTTAGAAAAATTTCAACCATGGGCTACCAAGCATTGGTAGCCCGAGGTGATTTTTCTAAGTCTTTTGTAAGTGAACATTTAAAAAAGACTTAGAAAAATTTTCACGGGCTACCCTCGGGCTACCACTCAAAATCACGGGCTATCAATACAAGCAGCCCGAGGTTGAAATTTTTTCTAAGTGTAGTATAAACAATAGTAAAATTGGATAAATTGTGTTTGAAAATATTCTAAGTCTTTCGTAAGTGAACATTTAAAAAAAACTTAGAAAAATTTCAACCACGGGCTACCAACGCTTGGTAGCCCGAGGTTGAAATTTTTCTAAGTCTTTTTTAAATATTCACTTACAAAAGACTTGGAATATTTTCAAACACAATTTATCAAATTTTAGTATAGTTTATACTACACTTACAAAAAATTTCAACCTCGGCTATTTGTATTGGTAGCCCGTGAAATTTATTAGGATTTGTATGGAGTAGCCCGTAGCCCGTCAGTTTCTCAACAGAGTAAGTTAAGTAGAGACTTAGAAAAATTTCAACCAGGGGCTACCAACGCTTGGTAGCCCGAAGTTGAATTTTTTTCTAAGTGTAGTTTAAACTATACTAAAATGGTGGAAATTGTGTTGAAAATATTCTAAGTCTTTTGTACGTGAATATTTGGAAAAGACTTAGAAAAATTTCAATCACGGGCTACCAACGGTTGGTAGCCCGTGTTTGAAATTTTCTAAGTATTTTCCTAATATTCACTTGCAAAATAATACTTAGAATATTTTCCAACAGAATTTATAGCATTTTACTATAGTTTAAACTACACTTAGAAAAAATTGCAACCACAGGCTACTTCCAAAGGAGCAAAGATTGTGTTTTGAATAAAATTTGAACTGACTGTTACTATTGACAACTCTTATTAAAATCAGTGCTTGTTTAATAAGCAAATGAATGTGTATAAAAAACATTGAAAAGTTGAAACACATAGTCACGCTATTGTCACACATGACTTGCATTCATTAGTATCAATTGTTATATACTCTCTTTTATTTCATACAAATATAAAAAATCATGCTTTACGTTTTAATATACAATTTAATGGTTTACAATCACACTAATTTCAAGGCTTCAGCCCTCTTTCGTAAAGTATTTGGAACACAACATGCATTGAAGTTAAATTCTGGATGACGCAATATCATTGACCGACGTAAACCAAATTTTTCAATGCCTAACCTAATTGTAATTGTCCTCGTCAGGTGTGAAGCGAATACCTGAACGTCGTTTAGTCAATTTATGGGTCGAAGTGGTTGCAGTGTCTTTGCGAACATGGTCTTGTCTCTGTGATGACTGCTCTACCTTTTCGCATTCAATTTCTAAATTCTTACTGTTCTCAACTAATTTTTGCATGCACAAATTCTTATTGCTACTTCCCGAGAACGTTTGTTTTGATAATGAACACGGGCAATGTTAGAGCTATGCTTCTGGTCTTCAGATATCCATTTCTGTTCGTTCGGTAGCAGAACCTGGGAACTTTCTGTCTCAATGATTTGTCTGTACCTAGTCGGCTGAATGTACTTTCCGATGGCTTCGAACACCAGCACGCTGAAAAGATCTGTAAGTTTTTGAAATTGTTTACCACTTCGATTTACCAACACATACTCGCAAGTGGGTGTGAGAAGGGGTCTGATATACGTTATATATTTTTCCAATATCTCGATGCTGCATTTGTCAAAGTACACACTATCAAACCCGTACTTTTTAGCTGTCTTGAAAATTTTCTGATCAACCATCCCTTCGTTTCTCTTTGCACTTTCAACGGTTTTGTTAACAGTTGTGGAGATCCCAAGGCGTAGTCGGTCACATTAGGAGAACTTAGAACGTCTTCTTCGGCGTCGCCACTCTTGTTGCAGCAAAACTTTACGAACTTTAAAGCTCTAGTGACTGAAATGTCCGATTGTTTAGGAGACTTGCCCCTGCCACAGCTGCTTTGAAGCCACTGCGAAAACGAACGAGCGAATTAGTTATCTGTAAAGCAGCCAGGAACTGTTCTCGAAGCTTTTTCATTAGTTCCATTCGCAGCAGACGGTGAAGTGTCGAAAAGGTCGATCGATACATTGGGCTTCTCGTCGAAATAGTAATACCAACCATGTTTTATTTTCACATGTTTACGACAACCTCTTTGACTTGCAAATCCTGGATGCTCGCAGCCTGTTACTGGACAATGATCTAACCCATCTCTGTCTTTGACCAAATGCAATCGTCTCTGTTTAGTAAACGCACCATCCACTGATTTCCAATGTACTTTAGATTTTCTTTGTGCAAACAAAAAAACTGGACAAAATGCTTATAGCGATCAAATTACTTTGGTTTTTATAGTGAACACGACACGCATTAGTGTGCATATGCGATGTATGAATCTTATACGTTAAATAAATAGTCCCAAGTGCAATATATTATGTGTTATTTTGCGAAATAACGGCAAAATTAAAATAGAGGGAACAATAAAATGGAACAACAGAAGCTAGCAATATGTGCATAATAAATTTTTCCAGTTTGCTAACCTAGTCGAAGAATATTAATGTTCCACTTCGCGGAACATTTTGTTCCTAAGCAAAGGAACCATGAAAAGGAACAGATTAAGTGTTCCTAATACGAGTTATTCTCAATCAGTTCTGCTTTGCGGAACATATTAGAAACGGAACAACCAAATTGAAGTAGGAACAATTTGTTCCTTTTTTATTGCTGTTCCGTTTATGAATGGGAACACCCAACATAATTTACATGTGTTCCGAGTATGGGGTTTAAATATATGCCAAAACTATGGCAAAACAAATCGTTCTTGTCATGACGCATTAGGTAACTTTAAATGTTTTTTCCTATTGAAATAACATGCTCACACCCTAGTGCTTCTGCCAAGTCCAATTGTTATGTGCTCATAACGCTTAATCTAGCAAATTTCCCGCTATAGTGATATTCTAAAAGGAACAATTGTTAGGGATACGTTACATAACCACAATTACCACCAATGCTGTCCTCACTTTTATCATCACCATTACCACCATCACTTTCATTCTCATCATCATTATAACCATTACTTCCATCACCACCATCATCACCATTATTACCATTGCCATTATTACCACAGTCACCACCATCATTATTACCATTGTAACCATCACTGTCATCACCACTTCCATCATCAAGATTGATATCATTGTCATTGCTATCATTAATGCCCCGAATGTCGATGCCTCCATAACTAATACTATGACTGCTATTATCAAGAGCAGAATAACTGCTCATTTCTCCTCGGGATGTGTCAGAGTTAGCCACATTACCAGAGTTTGTCACTGTGTGATATGGGTGAGTTAGGAAATGCTTACATACAGTCCGTCTATCCTGCAATTGGCCAGAGCATAACCGACAGTTACATACTTGTTTATTACAATTTGGGGATTCTATAATTGCAAAAAGTAAAAAATATATTAAATGTTTCATGAGGAACTGGTCATGGAATTTTTAAAAGTTTAATTTTAGAAGTCAGTTTCATATGGCTTACTAACACAAACGTAGACAGGAATGTGGAAAGCTTGTCAAACTTTGGGCTGGGGTGACCAAAGCTGTATGCAGGATTTTTTCACCAGGGGGCAGCAAGGCCTATATGCCAATGTCCTGAATATCCACAAAATAATTAATAATGGCATTCTAAAAATCGTAAATATAGTTTTCTCTAGGGGGGGGGGGCAGTTGCCCCCTTGACACCCCCACCCCAGTATGGCCTTGAGGTGACTATCAGAAATGATACTTCTAGAGTCTTCTGAAAATTGAAATAAAAATTTGAAATCAGATTTTAATATATATCTATACAATAATTTATACACACCTGATACATATCTATTGGGATTCTGACTTTGAGTGTTTTCATTGTTAACATCCATACTTGACACTGTAGCTTTTTATAACAAATTCAAGTTCATTGTTTTATATATATTCTCAAGGCAATCTTATATATTTTCAAAGTAATCTTATATATTCTCAAAGCAATCTTTTATATTTCCAAACGACTCAAAGCAATCTGTTCTGAACCTTAGCTGACGTGTACATATCTATGTCCACTCCCCCAAAACTACATTTTTTCTTAATCCTTCTTTTTTATAACATGTCCTTGCAGATTTTAACGCGATTTGAGGGGATTTAACATAAAATAGACTATTTGTGTTGAGACTTATCAGCAATTGGAAAGTAAACAATATTTTACATTTTTATGAGCACTGAAATGTCCAAGCGCAGATATGTGAACTCACCCGCATTGAGTGGGTGACACCCGCATTTTGGAATCATCACATGCGGAAAAATTGGCACATAAAATCACCCGCATTAGCAAATTTTATAGCAATTCACCCGCATTCTGTGATTCTGTCTTCTGATTCTTGATTCGTTGTTCTGTTTTTGGTTGGTAGAGTGTATGCATGCGCACATCTACTTCTACTTCAACTAGACTTAACTCTTAAGACGTTTGTATACATCTGTTTTGTAGAAATATGGGGCTTAGCAAGGCTTTTATAAATCACCAATCAATTTTCTCCACAACAAAAAATGACGTCATGTCAAAAATTATATATCACCCGCATTTTTGTTACTTAGGGTTCACATCTCTGCAAGCGGAATCTCCAGAGTTTTAGAGCACAACCGGAGAATCTTAAAAAATTTCCATTTTCGCAGCATGCCACGAAATCACAAAACCAATCATATTTCATGACTGCGTGACATGAAAATAATATCCAGCGGCGTAATATTTTCCCACTTATTTTTAACCGTTCTGTGTTTGCTTCGCTTGACTGCATCCACTGTACATCTTGAATGCATATTTTTACAATTGTACTGTTGATCTCCGTCTGTATTGGTCATATATTTCCTGAAGGACAGTTTAAATTTTGCCGTAATGGAATCCGTACAGGTAAATATAAGAAATTACTGATACTTTTAGTATTTAGCAAAATATTAAATGTGGAAGCGAGGAAATTCCACGGTCAATGTCGGACATTCCACGGTCAACTTCGTTATTAATTTTTGTCGATTGACAATTGCTTTTAAAACGAAGATAGTACATGAATATTCATAACTATTCAGAATAATAAATAATTTTATGCAAACTATTAACAGAAAAGCAACATTCGAGAAGTCCTCAATCCTTATTGAGAGTTGCACGTCTGCCCCTGTGGTTTTGTATTTATATTATTTAAGTTGGCATCAAATATATTTGCAGGAAAATGAAGCACAATCGTTTCTGACAAAAAACGGTCTTAAAAATTATGTTGAGGAATTGGTGGTAAAAAATAAGGTATTTATAGTGCCACACATGAGATGTCGTCAATTTTATATTCTATACTTTTATATATTAATTTAAAATTGTATTTGTACATTGTCTGCATGATAAATGTCCTTCTTTGTGGCCAAATTGTGTGACAGAAAGTGCGGTTTCTCCTATTATTTTTCATGAATACAATACTTTATAATTTGTACAGTTTGAAACCATATCTGATTTAAAGTTGCTGACCAATCTGGAAAGTGATAACATGTTCAAACATTTGGGCTTGCCTTTATGTATGATTCTCAAACTAAGGAGTGAACTACAAAAACTTCATTCTACCTCAGGTTTGTAATGTAATTAAAATTATATAAAAATACTAATACCAAAATGGCATTAGACAGAGTAAATACTAGAGTATTTACTTGTGTATTTCTTGTTAATGGGTTAAATAATACTCATGAATTCATATAGATGATCTTAAAATTGAAGAACCAATGGCATGTGATGGCACGGCAGTAGTTCCACATGAGACGTCAGTAGTTCCACATAACTATGAGATCCCAAAAATGAAGTTGTTGGAGCTCCAAAAAAACAGTGTTGAGGCTCAATATGCCAATGCCCAATGCAACAAGTTCACCAGCTTTTTAGCATCAAAAGTGAAAGAGTTTTATCAAGAAGGAAAGGTAATTTTATATGGAGAGATTTTATGAGTGTATCATGTTTCATTATATAGCATGTAGTCAATACCAACATTTTTTTTATTTAATTATTTCGCCCAAATTTAACATTGATTATTAATTAATATTATTTACAAATGAGGGCTAGAGGCCTACTAGAAACCATCAGGCTTTTGTTTAAGGCCGCTAGTGTAATCAATTTTATATAATCATACATTTAACATTAACAGTTCAACAAAAAATATTTAACTAGAATGTTCATAATTAACAATAAATGTTCAAAATAAAATTATTTTCATAAAGTCGAAGATTCCGTAGTTAGGGACCGGTCATTATTTATGGTGGGGGGTGGCACCGAAGAGAAATGTTTTTCATGGCAAAAATTTTGCTGACCCAACCATTAAAAAGTAAAAAATTTGATTACCCAACCTCAAATATCAATTAAAAAATAAATACCCACCCCTGGCCAAAAACTTTACAAAAAGGTACCATTCAGTTGTCACACATGTCCCTTGCCACTTCTGTGACATAAGTTTGATAACGGACTGTGAATTTTTTTGCAGACTAAAGTTTCATGTTGTCTGCACATGTACTTTCTTTGGAGACACCATTTGCCTCCCAACAAATTGAAAAACAGTGATCAAGATAGTGACTCCGATTAATTCACATATTGTATTGACATATGACTGTTGACATTGCTTTTTAGTCTCCAATATTTCAGTGAGTCATGCTTTGGAAATTATTATTACCCAACCCTTGAGTTGTTTTGTTTTTCATTTACCCAACCTTTTACTCACTCAAAATTTTGTTTACCCAACCCTTTTCTCTTCGCTGCCACCCCCTGCCATAAATAATGACCGGTCCCTTACTATATATCGAAAACTGCATGCATGCATGCATGTGTACACTATTATATATATATATATTTATATACAGGGTGTATCAAAAAAAACTGAACAGATTTGAAATTGCTCTCAATTTCGCAAAACACCTATTTGTATCCGGTTTTTTACATATATAGCTTCTTTGGGTACTTATAATGTAAAATAATGAAAAAAAATTGTCGAACTCAAATTTTGTGGACCAGGGGGGTGTGTCTTTTCCAACAAACTAAAAATGGCTCGCGCACAAAATTTAAAAGCTGTAATCATATTTTGCGTTAACTCTTTCTCGACATGTGACATTTTTCACGGCAAGCAATATTTTGATTCAACTGTTTTATAACGTAAATATTTCAGTGCGTATTCACCCCCCTTAAAAACAAAGAACACCATTGGAATCTTAACAAAATAAGCTTTTCATCGGGGGGTCTAATGCCGTCAAAACAAATACACAAACCGAAACAATCATATATTTACTCACCGCTTGGCCAAACATTCTGTATTTTCATATGGAGAAAATGTTGAATATTTTCTAAACTCTTCAGTATTCGCCGCAAGTTAATGTTAGTGAAATATTCCTTGTATTCAAGCGCTTTTATGTAGAAAGTTTCGTTTGAATACGGCGAGTAGAAATGTTTATTTTGTTTTTTTCAAAATATCGGGTTTCATCGGGTTTTTACTCGCACGCGCGTGCTGCATGTAAAATTGGCCAATAAGGGGTCTCCCGTAGCCCAGTGCACGTGAAAAGCACGCTTCAGATGTAATTTGACCTTTAGAATCGATTTCCGATGTTTTCCGAACGCTAGGATGTAAACACGCGATGTTTTGGCAGATCTAAAATGTATTTCCGGTTAAAATATCCCGCTGATTTCATTAGTTTCGCAACAGATTGAAATACCGAAATAAAAGACGAAAAACTAAGGCTACAAGCTTGAAAATAACACTTTCAATAGTGTTTTTGATTCTGTTTCGAATAAGACTATAGCGAAAACGATATCTCAAAAGGTGCCCAAGTTATGTTCGGCAAAAGGTATTGATAGTTTACATTGTTCGAGACAATTGATTAATATAATGAAATATGACACCGCTTGACCTGTCGAAAGGTCATAAATTGTTATACAATTTCACTAAAATTATATTTGACTAAAACTATCGACAGGTATAGGAGATATTGTTTCACTGAATCGAATGGTGGTATTTTCATCTACATAGCATGCACCCAACTGACGATATGACCCTGCAAAGTCGTAAATCATGAGTGATTTACTTAATAGGGACCTGTCGGGAAAGAGTTAATAGATGGAAAATATGTCGGGTTTTTAATTACCGTACAAAATTTCAGACAATTTGGTTTAGTGTAAGCCCTTTAACTATTCATTTTGTTCTAAAAAGTCAGCCTTTCGCATGCTTAATTAATGCCTTTACCTAATTTGCATATTGCTGACATATGCAAATTAGGCAAATGCATAATTAAGCATGGAAATAGCTGATTTTTAGGAAAAATGTAACTTTGCGTGAATAGTTAAGGCGCTTAAACTAAACCAAATTGTCTGAAATTTTGTACAGTAATTAAACGCCCGACAAATTTTCCATCTGTTAACTCAAAATATGATTGCAGCTTTTAAATTTTGTGCGCGAGCCATTTTTAGTTTGTTGGAAAAGACACACCCCCTGGTTCACAAAATTTGAGTTCGAGAATTTTTTCTCATTATTCTACATTATAAGTACCCAAAGAGGCTATATATATATAAAAAACCGGATACAAATAGCTGTTTTGCGAAATTGAGAGCAATTTTAAATCTGTTCAGTTTTTTTTATACACCCTGTATAGATACTGAGTTTTTCGAATAGATGCATTATTTTATTGATATTTCCTTTTTATTGATTATTGCAGTCTAGTTTGGGAAAATTGCAGCAATTACTTGAACGACAAGATGCAAAAAAATGCAAAATAGAGCGGCAAGAATAATTACTGGCAAATCATATGAAATACGAACAAGTGAATTGCTAAAAGAGCTTAATTGGCAAACACTTGAGGAAAGAAGGGAAGCGGGAGATTCACATTCATGTTTAATGTTAAAAATCAGGAGGCACCGGAAAATATGGCTAATTTGTTTAGATTCTCTAATAATG